TGCCTTGCAGAGGGGATTGCATTGTCTCCTTTGTGTGTGTGTGTGCAAATGCTCCTTCCTGCCTGATCCACCAACTGCCAGTCTGAACCTGGGCAGGCAGCAGAACTGTGGTCTCCAGTCAGAGAAAATTGAGATAGAACTGGCCTTCTCAATACAGCCAATATCTGTGTTGTGTTCTTTGCAAAATTAAATTCAACTCTGCTGTCGTTAAATTCCTTCTCAAGATGCCAAGACCACCATTTATTGCCCATCCCTGTTTGCCAATGGGAAGATGACGGTGACCCCCCTTCTTCAGCTACTGTGGTCCATGTAGTGAAGGTGTACCCACAGTCTGTTAGGGAGTGAACACTAGAATCTTGACCCAGCAACAGTGAAGGTGCGGCAATACAGTTCCAAGTCAGGGTGATGTGTTGCCTGTGGGGGAGCCTGAGGAGAGCAATGCTACCATGCACTTGCTACATATGTTCTTCTGTGGGCATGCATTCAGGAGGTTCTGATGAAATTGTCTCACTGCATCCTGTTGATATAACAGACCACTGTCTTGGGACACTGGGCTGCTTGTGCCTTTGGATGTAGGTGGTGTTTACCTGAAAATAAATGGCTTAACATGAAAGGAATATTATGGATTAAGCACAGCTCTTGTTACTTTAATTCTGACAGGGCCATCTAAACTCTTCGAATGAGCTGGCAGTTATGCCTGTCATTGGAATTTCTTACTGGGGTTCTCCTGATCTACCATTGTAACTTAGGTGGAAGATTACCAGAAACCCTGGAGTCATATGTGGTCATCTCAAATAAAGAAACAGATATTTCCGTCAGTGGGACAGTCTTTGCTCAATTACCTTAGCTGTTTGGATCTTCTCGGTATTCCATTCTGGTGAGTAATCCCTGTGATTACTCATTTAATTAGGAGCTGGGAAATCATACACGATAAAACATCTGTTGGAAGCAACTGATAATGATGTGCTAACTTGCTTGTTTTTCAGCTACACCACTTATTTCTCTCTACTTTCTTTATCAGTTGTCTACTTATCAAAGGTGAGAGATGTTAGTGCTGGCAATGAAATGCTTCTAATTTTTGGCAATTGGTGCCAGTGTCGAGTATTCCCAGGTAAGGCATGGTGCATGTCATTAAGATACCTTTAGCCAAATTTCTGAAAAAGAATCATTGGACTGGAAAAATTAACTGTTTATCTCTCTCACTGCACACGCGACACAGCGACTAGCACTGCTGCCTCACAGCACCAGGGACCCACGTTCGATTCTACCTCAGGAGTTTGCACATTCTCCCATGTCTGTGTGGGTTTCCTCCAGGTGCTCCAGTTTCCTCCCACGGGGTTACAGGATCATAGAATTGCTGCAGTGTGGAAGCAGGCCATTCAGCCCATCAAGTCCACACCCATTCTCTGAAGAACATCCCACCTAGACCCACCCCCTACCCTATCCCTGTAACCCTGCATTCCCCATGGCTAACCTATACTATGGGCAAGTTAGCATGGCCAACCCACCTAGCCTAGATTCTCACAGACAATGCCCAGATCTACTGACTTTCTCCACGGCACTTACTGTTTTTACTTCTACCTGATCTCATTTCATCCTAACCCCAGAAGAGAGAGAAAAATGTGCATTTTTAAAACACTTTGGGTGTCTCAAAGAACCTCACAACCATTGAACATTGAGATAAAGGATCAGGTTTGGAAGCAGTTGATTGAGTGACAGAGGACACCTTACCCTCCCATGAGTGACAAGTGATCCTGTGAGGAGGGCAGATGGGACATTAAAACATCATTCAAAAGAAAACATTTGTGACAATGTAATATTCCCTCAGTACTGCACTGAACTATCAGCCAACCACAGCCCTTCACATTCCTGAGTACAACTTCAACCCAGAGTATTCAACCTGTGTGTTACCACTGGACTGCACCAACAAGAGCAAAGGTGTAATAATCTTTCATTTTGCATGTCAGTTATCCACGGCCTTTCTGTCAGCTTATCAATTGGGGGGATAACATTGTTCAGTGTTCATTCACAACAATTGGACCAAGACTGTTTGAGGTTTTACAAAGCCGACCTACCTTCATTTCATCAGCCTGTATCTGTCTTTGACCCATACCCAAAGGCCAGTGTATAACCAATGGTTACCAATCTTAAAAGGAAATGATGTTCAATTGTCAGGGCAAAGCCAAAAGCGAAACAAAATACTGGGAGGAAAATCAGAGAGGCAGGAAAGATGATTTTGGCACTTTCTTTGAATGCTTTAATTCATTTCTTTTGAAAATATTGGACAAAGCACTGACTGACAGTGAGCTTAATCCACTGTCCATTTCTTCTCCAGTTGACTGTGAGAAAGCTGTGTATCTGGATGACAGACCAATAGCGGGTGTGGGAGGATAGAGTGGCTTGCATTAGAAGGTCAGGTGATGAAACTGCTAGGGTCTTGCACCCAAGCCGAGTTGACAACACTGGTGTAAACCTGTCATATTGCTCAGTCCCCTTTAACTTCTGAAAATGAGGACCTGGTGTAATGACATGATGAAACAAAATGAATCAATGCTGTCCCATCGAAGAAGTCTGATCTATTGCCTTGTGAATGAACTGGATACTGCTCCATTTCTGACATTCCATAAAGAACAGAGACATGTGACAGCTTTCCAGTAATAGATTAAATCTGAAACCCAATCTACAACTGTGTGTTTACTTGAAAACTCTTAGCAAAAGAAAAGTCTCAAAATCGGCAGCCTCCATTTTTGTGCTCTTCATCTCCACAGTGGTAAGAACCTGCACTCAAATGGTCACCAAGGAGGGATCTGGGCCTCACAGAACTATAGAATGGTACAGAATGTTACACCTGGTTGTGCCTGTTCCAGCTGTTTCCAAGGGCAATACACCCACTGCCATTCTCTTTGGCTTTACAAGTCTTACCCCATCAGATAATTATTCCATTATCTTGTGAAAGCTATGTGTGAATCTGTCTCCATCAGACTGTCAGCCAGTGCATTTCAGATCCTAACCACTTTTATTTGTTCATGAGATCTGGGTGTCCCTGGCTGGGTCAACATTTATTGCCTATCTGAAGTTGCCCTTGAGAAGGTGGTAATGAGTTGCCTTCTTGAATCTCTGCAGTCTTTGAAGTGAAGGCTACCCACAGTGCTGGTAGGGAAGAACTTCCAGGATTTTGATCCAGTGACATTGAAGGAACAATGATATATTTCCAAGTCAGAATGGTGTATTTTGAAAGGGAATTTGCAGGTGGTGATGCTTCCAAGTATCTGCTGCCCTTGTCCTTCGAGGTGGCAGAGGTCATGACTTTCAAAGGTGCTGTCAAAGGAGTTTTGATAAGTTTCTGCAGTGCTTCTTGTAGATGGCACACTCTGCTGCCCCTGTGTTTTGGGGATGAAGGGAATGAATGTTGAAAGTCCTGGATGGGTTACCAATTGCACAATTGCTGTAGACAAATGTTTTCCAACATGTCATCATCACTTTTTTTGCCAATTACCTTAAATCTCTGTCCTCTGGTTCTCAATCCTTCCATTAATGGGAAATGTTTCTCGCTCTCTACTCTATCCAGTTGCCACTTGATTTTGAAGACCTCTATCAAATCTCCTCAGAAATTCCTGGGTAAGGTTACAGGGTCTGGAGGAGAAATGTTTGGGCCTCAAAGGGTGATCGTGGCCCTGCAAATCAAGAAAGAACATCTCCTCAAGACTTTGCCTTGCCTTTCCTGAGGGAAATCAGCAGTGGTGTGCACTGCCTCAAGCATGTGCCAAAGTTGCAACAGGGACCAGAATCAGGTGGTAAGCCCCTTGTTTGTATTTGTTAGTGGGTTAATGTTAAAGAATGGGATGCCAGTCAAACAGGCTGTTTTGACCTGGACGGTGTCAAGCTTCTTGAGTGCTGTGGAGCTGCACTCATTCAGGCAAGTGGGGAATATTCTAACACGCTCCTGACTTGTGCCTTGTAGATGGTGGACAGGCTCTGGGGAGCGAGGAGATGAGTTACTCGCTGCAGTATTCCTAGCCTCTGACCTGCTCTTATAAGTATGGTAAGTCTAGTCGAGCTTCTGGTCAATGATAACCTCGAGCACATTGATAGTGGACAGTAGAATTGGTATATTTGACCAGATTATATTTCATTGCCAGTGTATGATTATGTCACACCGATGTGTGTCACATCTCCAGAGATATCGCTTCAAAGCACATATTCTGAATACTCAGGATGCTAACAGTTTGGTTTCTCATCCAGCTCCCTGTTACATTCATATCACACTGTGAGAATTTTGAAGTAGTGCCAGAATATCCTGTTAATGTAAAAATTATTCAGTAGCTTTCCAATTAAAACTTCACACTGAATCATATTTTGTCCAGACTGTTTGTAAGCAGTTGTGAACTGGGTGGACAACACATTTTTTAAAAAAGCTTGAAAATAGATAGTGATATTACCTACTCTTGGCATTGAAAGTAGATAAGACTGAAGTGACCACTAAAGATGAGAGAAAATATTCGACCTATTCATTATCTGAAAACGGACATGTTATGAGATGTTCTGTTGTCCTTTTGGAGAGTCTGTAATACAGTAGAATAGGCTGTCATTTCTCTGTTTTGTTTCTGAACAAGTATTTGTCATATCGTGGACCGCTTATTACTTATGCTACATGCTAATGCTATTTGTTAGCAGAGTGTAGAATGCACACATTTGAAACTTTGTTGCCATGAATCAAAATACTAGCCAGAACCATGTCAAGGCTAAATACCATGCTGGAGTGCTGGCTTAGGATCACTCAATCCAACGTACGAAGTGGATTTCTCTTTGTTTAAACACAGAGTGAAAGAGGCAGCTCAGGGCCCATTCCGCCTCCTGCATCCCTTTGTTCAATTGTATATCGCACATTTTGGACCGAATTCGAGTAGATCCTTTGGTCAGTCAGGCGGGGTGGAGCCTGGGTGATGGGTGGAGTGTCACTCAAGAGCTGTCAGCGTTTTGCTGCAGTGTGTATGTGTGTGTGTGTGTTTGCTATTACTGAATGAGATTGTAGGAGCTGGAGGGCAGCGTCCTGCCTTTTAAAGAGCTTTGTAAAGAGCGGCTCATCCGAAGGCACAGTACGGGAGAGAGAGAGAGCGCCATCACAGACTGGATTTACTCACAAAAAGACTTTTCCAAAACGCACACAAAGGGGGAGATTGACGGTTAGTATTGGAATATTAATAATAGAGATATAAAAACGCCATCTCTAACATGTCGTTTTGCAATGTGTTTTCCAACAAAGAGCGTGTGCTTTCAGGCAGATGAGAGCTGGACCACTTTCTCCCCGCTTTGTGTGTTTTGTCCGATTTGATTGATTTGTAAACAGACTTTTCTAGCGTTAGGCTCTCGACCTGACACTGGAGAGTGGTGATGGGCAGCCCTCTGTCCGGGCACTTGGAGTGACTTTACCTGGGAGCTGGTGGGTTGTGTGTGCTTGGGGGTGGGAGGGCAGCTTTTGAAAGTGAAGCGGGCACCTTCCTGGTGAAGATTTCTTGTTGCAACCTCGGCTGTTCTTTGTGTTTAACGAGGGGCAGACTGGAACCATCTGCTTCCCAGTAAAAGTACCAATTGTTCAAACGGCAGTTGCCACAAGGTAGGATGCCAGATCACACATTGTGGGACAGGCTAAGTTTTGGTTTGATTGAAATCTTTGTCATTTGCTGGTGTTTTGCTTGCATGGTTTGGGGATTAGTATTGAGTGAGGTAGCTGTCTGAGGTACAGAAGATGAACAACCTGGCTTTAACACAGGGTAAAGGCTGAGCATGAATCTGTTACTGTGCTGTGGTTACAGGTCTTTCTGTTTATAAAACGATACGTTATCAAATGCTGATCCTGAATCAACAACAGGGAAAGAGATGATTCGAGCTGTCCTGAGACTGGTTCTAAATCATCTGTTGAGTGTTGTTGCTATGACATCAAACCAGTAAAACTAGGACAACAAAAGAACCTCCAAAGATTATCTTGACAGGTTATTTAAAAAAAAATAAGTTGAAGCCCATCCACAAAGTGAACTGTTTCACTCAATGATGCCGCAAAATGTTGATGAAAAACTGTGGGGGATTTTGTCAATTGTGTTATGTTCTGGCTGATTTAAAATACAGTGTCAGGATTTTAACTGTTCAGCGTGAAGCTTTCACTTGTGGCCAGTGCCTTGAAATCCAATGGCTTCTGAAGTGGGCAGGGTCAGACTCCTACTGAGGCCGATGTGTCCAGATAGGGGTGTAGGACAAAGGGGCGCAGTAGCTAGGTTCATACCTGTACAACGTGGAACTGAATCAGTTCAGCATTAATCATAGGTTTTACCTGAGATCCACATTAATTTAGCTTGGCTCTGGCTGCAAGGCAGTAGCAACAGTTTCAAGACCTCAAAACCCTGTGCTACAGAAGGAGTAAACTCAGCCCCACCCTCATCATCTTGCTGCATGGGGCTGATGAGTAAAGATAAGGATGAGATGTGATGCCCCTTGTGGTCAAATAGTCTGCTGATTTAATATACGCAATCCACTTGCTGACGCAAGATAACTGAGGTGTCTACCTCCTGAGAACGATTGAGCATTTTCAAAAGGAATAGTCTTCAGAAAAAAGATTGAAGAAATCACATTAAATGTAACGAGCATTAGCATGTGTTCCTCCTCCACTGTTTTGAATGAAAGACTTGTCCATAGAAGTGGATGGGGAAGGTAAATAGCTTGATGCCCAGAGGACAATCATTCAGTACAACTAAAGGAAGAGTTGAATTAAGCAAGTGGTCTGTGATTAGCCTGGTCAATGAGTTGCACTCTCAGCTCTCACCAATGTTGTGTCTTCAAGCACAATTGACAGGACTTGAGCATGTAGCTAACACTGACTGTTCAGTGCAGCCCTGTGAGAAAAGTGCTTTATTATCAACAATGCTGTCCTTCAGGTGGAGGTGTTGTTTGCAGCCATCACCTGCCCACCCTAATTTAGGCATATAAAATCAAATGGTACTGCCTGAGTAAGAGCATGGGAGATCTGCCCATTACTAAAACAGATTCCCTGTCATTATTTCATGGCTACTTGTCATATTCTGTGTTTATTTGCATAACAGCAGTGACCACACTCTGACAACAATTTATTGGCTGTGAGGAATTTTGGGACAACCTGAAATATACTGCACATAAATTTAAGCTTTCTAAAAAAAATTACTGAATTAAATATTTTCACTCCAGCTCAGAATTAACACTGATTAACCAAAAGAAGCAGAAACTAGATTCAGAGAAAATGATGGAAGTAAATGTTTATCACAAAAACTAAGGTCACATTCAGACTGTAGTCTTGACATTAAAATGTCTGCCTCTGGAGTATAGATTTTTGTAGGGCCATCTTTGATAACTAAAAATCTTTGGCACATTTCTCTAGAGGTGGCTAAGTTTACTAAAGCAGTTGCTAGAATAAAGAGAGAGAAATGTCTTTCTTTGGTGAAAGTTGTCATGCAGATTATCAAGGGCTAATGCTAAGCATCACCTCTAAGTCGAAATGTGACCCCTCTCTCTTCAAAATCCTGTTTTGGGATAAGGAGATTTGGGTGGGGGTCAGTTAAAAATTTTAGATGTGAGACTGACAAATTTGTGTTGGATGAGACAATGAAGGGATGTGTAGTCAAGGCAGGTAAATGGAGTTAAAATTCCTATCAACCAAGATCCGACTGAATGGTGGAACAGGCTTGGATGTGTTGAACATCCTGCTCATGTTTCTTTGTTCCCACAGTCAATCCATTAGTAGAGATATTGAACAAACTCTTGTTCTGATATTAGACACAGCTCAGTTCCTTGAGAATTCTTCACCAATTAGCTGTAATTAAATAGAAGGATGAACTGACAAATCTGCTCCTCTCTTCAGGTCTTGAATCTCCACTTGTTTGTTTTTCTGATTTTCTTCTTTTGATGAGGTTGTAAAGTTTATATCTTTTTATTTTCTGTATTTTACATTGTGGATTAAAGTGGGAAAAGATCTGGTTTAAAGACAAAGCATTATTAAAGGATTGCTTCACTTTTTGAAAGCAAGTTACCTGACACTTATTGTAAGTGTTCTTTACACTGCTGCTAGTTTAAGCAGTAGTGACAGCCTAGTTTGCAGATGAGCTGGCACCAAAGGCTGAATATGAATGGAGCTTTGGCTAGCAACAAGCAGCTGATTGCTCTCTGGTTTAGTGACCAGAGACAAGGGCCTTCTGCCTGCCAACAACTATGGAATTGACTCCCAGGTAGCTGAACTGCTTGGTGGGGGTGTGAATATTTTGGCAGAAAACATTAGACCTCTGGGAGGGAAGGAGTTTCTTTTTGCTCTATAGTGAAAAGCATCTTATGTCTAAAGATAGACATGTTATTTCCCCTCTCCTATTGCTGTAAGCTGTGACTTTTAATTGATCAGTTAAAGATCTTCATATGTGGAAATGAGTCACCCAATGCCTCTTGCAAACACATGAAAGTACCTAGAGAAGGGAGATTGAGAAACAGCATTCAAATCAAAAAAAGGATCATCTTGGCAAACACTGTGGACTGGGACCACTGAACTGACTTCCCAGTCTTCCCCTCCGTCCACTACACCCTTTTTTGTCTCTGTCTCTATCTGTGTCTGTCTGAATGTGTGTATAGAGAGGGATTTTAAAAGATGGTTAGTGTTTTAACTGTAGAGTTATATTTCAACAGTTCATAATTGTTTATCTGTAACTATAGCCTATTTATAATAAACATAAATTCTTGATAAGTATAGAAACCTGGTCTGTGCCTTCTGTTAATCTGTGCACTTTTAGAATCCTTAACTTTTGTGATGATACAAGGAATAGCAAGGCCTGATTTCCAGTCCTCCTCCACAGTGAACTGTAATAGAGATGTTGATTCTTACTAGATGCAGTGTGTACTTGTTACTATAGGTTGGCTTCTGTAAGGAGTCCATTGCCTAAAACTGGTTTAATTATATCTGGTTGAATAATTGCCTTTAAGTCAGATACATCTACCTTAATGACACTTACTCAGAATTTGTCACAATCGTCGTCTTTTTGCTACTCTGAATTTAGTTGGGATCACCACAATGTTGATTGATCACACCCCTGTCAGCTATTTATTCCCCTTCCAAATCCATTATATTTAATTGATTCTATAGATGTTCTACAGTACCTAGTCCTGACATTGAGTTACCTGCTCCTTGGATGCTGTCTGACCTGCTGTGCTTTTTCAGCCTCACACTAATAGACTGTGGCTTCCAGCATCTGCAGTCCTTATTGTCTCCATCGTATTTAATTATTTTGCTGCCACATCCTTCCATCCGATCTTAGGTCTTGCTGTTCCCTTTCTTCTGACAGTCCTATCTCCTTGACTTGCCTCACCACATGTTCTCTCTCACTCTCTCCCTCATTCTCTCTCTCTCTTTGCAACAAGTGTCCACATTATTTCAGTCTCCTCCCCCAGTTATCCAGGCAAGTGGAGAGTGTTCCATCACTTCTGATGTGCGCTTTTTCGGTAGTAGACATGTTTTTGGTCTTCCTAATCAAGTGTGCCACTGAGATTCCCCGGTGGTTAGTGATATCCGTCATTGCTTCTATTTCTCTTAGCTGTCTCTGACTCTCTGAATTCCTCCTTCAGTCCTGGACTTTTGCGTTTCTCTGATGTTTTCTCTTTGCAAACAGTTCTGCCATCAGCACTCTCTGCTGCTGGTCAGTGCCTCATTAGGGAAGACCATGATATAATCCAACTCTGCTTCTCTGCTGTCACTACCATAGGTTATAAACCAACGATAGCAATGCAATATTGATCATGAAATGACCAGAACATGAATAGGAAGGGTTCAAAGGGAGATGGGCTAGTTGCTGTCAAATGGAACTAAATTAATTTAGGATATCTGGTTGGCATGGACAAGTTGGACTGAAGGGTCTGTTTCCATGCTGTACAACTCTATGACTGTACAAAAAACCCATCTAGGTCACTAATGTCCCTCAGGGAGAAAATCAATCTAGTCTAGTGTACACATGATCCCAGAGCCAGAACAGTATGATTGACTCCCTAATAGCTCCCAGAAATGGCCCCAGCAAGCCACTCGATAGCACCAAAGCACTCCAAAAGTAAAAGCACAGAGAGTGCACCTGGTTGAAGAAGCCTGGTCACCACCACTTTCTCAGGGGACATTTGGGGAAATGAACACAGG